CTCTTCTCTATCATTGTTATGATACTAAATAAGTATGTTTATAATTATTTTCTTATACTTACTGTATAATTTTTGGGAAGGGTGGAAGATAGCCTTTGGCTAACCCTTTTTCTTTTATGTATAAAAAATGCATAATAAACGATATTGTTATTATTATCACAAATATTTGTTGACAAAATGAGAATTTTCATTGTATTTCACAATAATCACAAAAATTGTGATTTTCTCCTGTCTGTTCTCCTGAAAAGAAGAACAGATGAAAAAGTTTGATAGCGATATACAATCAATGAAATTTGGTGTATTGCTTCTGATTTTTCCGAAAAATTTTGTCCATCCAGAAATAAGATTTAGAGAAGAAAGGATTAGTTAAATTAGGATATCTGTATCTATAAATATCTACGGTATATGCGTTCCTCAGATGTCACAATATTGATTACTGTTATAAATAATTATTATCCATTATTTCATTCATTCAATCATAATTATTATATTACTATTTTCCTGTCTTACTTACAACTCTATGAGTGACTCTTTCACTGAGATTGAATCCATTTTTATCCACATCAATTGAAATTGATTAACTTCGGGATTTCAAATGTTCCAAAATAGGATATGGAAATTCGGGAATCTAGATTATCAGCCAAGCCTTGCCTGCAATATCAGACTATAAACACAAAATGAAGGTTATTTGAATAAGTGTATTTCACTTACCTAAAATCATTGGAGAACATTACATTTTTTAATATTTGTTTTGGGGATATACGAGCAAGAAAATACTTGAGACGTTAGGAGGGTAGCAATAATGTTGATTCATTCATTCAGAAAAAACCGTTTCGGAAAATGTATTCCACGTGAACACTTTCTTTTTTTTCACTCTTATATAGTTTTTGAAAAGTGTACTTCAAGATAGACTGGAGGGACCTAGAAGCTTGCGGAAACTGTAGTTTTCAGCGTAGTTCTTACATACAGTAAAACACTGTATGTAATCAAGTCAGTTAAACACTTCCCTGTATCTTCAGGCCATGGAAGTAATCCAACTCCCTAGTTGTTCTGAACAAGCAATTGTGGTATTTGGCCTGCTTCAATCAGGCTCCATTTTTGATGGAATTAGCAGCTTCTATGCATTATTCCAAAACGAAATCTATTGGAGCTTGAATCAAAAGTTCCAGAGGTATGTATAACTGTTTGATTTCAAATAGTCTATCGAGTTCCTGAGAAAGTTTATTCTATATCAGATAGTCATGTGATTGTGTGAAGACATATTGATGTGTAGTTTGACATTGATAAATCAATCATAGCAGCCTGCGAATATATGTGTCCTGGAATACTTATTGACATGTGCCCTGACATGTCTCATCATGTTTTCTTACAGAAAACATACGACTTGGTTTCCGATTTTTACTAAACTGTGTCCTGCTAGATTTTCTGTCATAGATTTATAATACCACCTTTGGCAGTGAAGGTTCTAAGAAGGTTTTAAAGGGGAGAAAAAAATCCTTTTCAATAACAAATTAGAGACCTCACAAGACAAGTTCCTTGGTGCAGGGTTGAGTTGAAAAATAGTTTCAGCTGATACTTCGCCGTTTTGTCATGGGTTTTTTTTAAATCTATGTGAATACAAATGAGATATCATATATTATTTTGTGATGAATGAAGACGAGTATTATCATTATTATTATGTTTTGAAGTCCATGGACGAATGGCACAGACAATATACAACTCTTTTTGAGCTAGTGTAAAATGGACCAAACAGTCTTGAAAAGTCAATAATGAAATAGCGAAATTCAGAAATTGACATTTCCAAGTTTGATAGCTATTCAGATACACCTTTGTAGATGTTCAGGGATTGTTGTAAACGAACCTTTATATGTATGTTTATAAATATTTATGCATTAGATACATTCTAATGCCATATGATTACATGATTGAGTTTTGTGTTGTTGTTAGCCTTGGAAAATGTATTGGTAGTCTTTTTTTGTATCATATTATGAGTTGTTCATCTAAAGATACTAAACTATTCAAAAGTACCTTCAGTAAATACTCAACAGGATCAGGAGATTTACTGTGCTAGATTTGTAGACCTGCTAGAACCTGTTATTGAGACTACATGGGCTTTTTAGATAAGGAAACATAGGGCTTATTGTCATTACACTCTTGTAGCCTACAGCTGTAGCTATTTTTGCAACTTTTTAGCGGAATTACCCCAAAGGGGGCAGACTTGAATGTTTAAAAAAATCATTGTATTAAAAATCTCCGCCACTGGATGTCTTCAATATCCATTTGAATTAATCTACCTGAGCATATCCAACAGAATCTTTCCACTTCTAATATTTGACATTGAAATCCAAATCTACTGAAGTTAGTTTAAATCAATAATAATAATTCAAAAGTTATTCAATTATTACCAACATCAATGTTGAAATTACTGTCTCTAAATTTGTGGTCCTTCCTTATGAACAATGTTGGTTAAAATTTTTGAAACAGTAAACAAAAAAATTGCTTTCGGAACTGCTCGTACACCCCAACAAGGATCATGGGCAATCGAAAATACAAGATAATGAAAACAAATAAGTTTGACTGATATACGTTGGTCAAACAGAGCGGACTGTAATATCCAGCTTCAAAAATGACATAATTTGTTATGAAGAACAGAGGAGTACGATGTCCCTCAATGTGGAAAACTTTCATAGGACAAATAAAAAATACTTGAAGGTGTTTTGATAGGTACAAACAACTGAATTTTTGACGCCACCAGCCTTTTTTTGGGAAAGATGTGGAAAGAGATTTACGGACAAGAATAAAAGTCCTATTTCAAACAGCATTTTGTTTACTTTTTTACATTATAATTGCTGCTAGCAACTAATGTACATTAACAAGTTGTCAGTAATATCATCAATAAGAATCGTGTTATGAAAAACAATTCACATTTTAATGAGTACTTAAAATTCATTCTGGGAATGAAAGTCCGTCTAGATTGATACGAATTGCTTTTATTCAGTATCTCCTGATAATGCTTACTTGTTCATGCAAAACGTAACAAAACATATTAGTCATGATATAGATAAAATACAGACTGTCCACTATGGTTTATAACAAAAATTTATATTATCGTAAGGATGATCCGTAGATGAAGGAGAATTTGAAGTTTCAAAGATATTATTGCTGAAAAAAATTGTTCTTAAGCATGGACATCTATTTGTATGAATGGAGAAACTCATCAATCGTATGCTCCATAAATATTTTCCGTGTTATGAATGATTTAACAAATAATTAGCACCATATTGAAGAATTCTTCAGAAGTGCAATTTGTAGAACTTTTGATAACACTAAGTTTTTGATGAAAAACTTTCCAAGTCAACTCTTTAAAGCCCCTAGCAAAAGCTGATCAACATGATTTTTAAGCAAAAGTAAAACTGAATGAATATACATTTACATTTTATCCTCGTATAAATAAATATCTCCAAGAAATCTACTGGAATACATCTGTAGGGGTAACATCCTGGTGTATTGATAGCCTTGGTGGAACATTTAAAAGCACAGCCGAATTCATGCACTAAAAAGAAAATACTGAGCCATGCACTTTGCAAGTGTTCATATACTCGTCAATAACTGTAAATGTTGATAAGGACAAATTTAAAATTCAAATTGCAAACATCGGTCGTCAACCTACCCACATTTTCTTCAATTACTTGTTAGTTAGTTGTATGTCTCATCTTTGATTAGGGGTCAAGGTCATTGAATTCAAATACCACTATTCATTTGGTGAAGAATATTTTTTTGGATTATATTGTAGCATCTATAAAACTTTTGGTTAGGACGTATCTGTGAATCTGGAATTTGGTGTTGCGAAGAAACTGGGGTCTGACATTTTGAAAATGCTATTAATGATTGTGGTGGATGTAACACCGCTACTATAGTTTACCCTCTCAGAGGACTGGCATCGATTAAAAACAGGGTAGAAACATGTTTGAGAACGAAACACCCCCCTAATTGGGAATCTTTCGTCTTCTTTCATAAGAGTTTGCTAGAATCCGTTCTTTCCTCTGAGATCATTTATGTTACTATGTGTAATTATAGAGTAATCTCAAGGTAAATCAAAAGAAGACAACTATTCCAGAGTTCATGAGTTCTAGTTACATTGATATCCTGATATTATGTTCTGCTAATGTAGCTTGAGGTGTCATGCTGACAACTATTCACAATAATTACTTCTTGTTTTAGAGATGTGTCGCCTACTTTGAAAAAATTTATGAAGGACTCCTGGAGAAGGCAAGTACGTGCTAGACTCTGAAAAATACTTCCGAAAAAACCTCAGGTCTCAATAAATGATTCGAAAAGTAGATCCGAGGAAGAAATAGAAACTGAAGTAGGGACTACAAGTGAATTTTTCGGGTATACTTCTTTGAGAAATTATAAACCTAAATCGAACACCGAATTTATAATTGGAATCAAACCTAGTTACCATAACTCTTTTTTGGAGATCTCGGCCCTTTGCTGTTTTTATTATATATAAATGATCTGGCATATATATCGATTGAAGACAAAACATGTTTTGCTGACGACACGTCTATGCTTTGGCATAGAAGAAGCAGTGATGCACCAAAAATTAGTGTGGAGCATGATATAGGCAAAGTTAAACAATGGTGTGATGCCAATTCCTTATCTTTCAATATATCAAAGACTAATATAATGTCCTTTAAATGTAACCTGATCCATATAATTCTTGAAGAACACATCATGGATCATAAACTAGAGAACACATTTTTAGGCCTCAATACAGACAAAAAATTGAAATTTGGAACGCATATTAGTATACTATGCGAAAAATTATCCTTAAGTTGTTATACGATAAGGTCTATCTCTAACTCATTGGACTATCACTCTGGTAGAAAAGCATACTTTGCACTTTTCGAATCCCATTTGCGGTACGGAGTTTGTTTCTGGGGGAGCAGCTGTCAAAACTTAATAAGTCAAATTTTCACAATACTAGTGAAAATCTTACGGTGAAGTGTGCTTTGAATACGACGGACTTTATTGTTTTATTGAGGAATCGTATAACAAGTTAATATATCTACCAGAAACTTGGTAGTATTATCAGGAAAGTTAGCATTCCCGGGTTACGATGGAAAAATCATGGGTTCCAATCCAACTTTGACCAGATATTTTCCTAGTTGGAATTATTATGGGTTGGATCTGCTACGTAACTTGGTCCACGGGACTGCGAATAGCTATTATGTCTTCTAGGTGGATCAAAGAGTTATTAGTGCCACTTTCTTGATGTGCTAGGAAGCCACTGAATATTGATGAAATGGTTCAGAAAAATGATCACATTATAAACATATGGTGCAAGGTATCTTAGTATTAAAATTTTACTTTCATTCCTGGTCTATCGTACATTTTTTTCTTTGAAAGACTCTACTGAAGCCAGGAATTTTTAATTTTGAAAAAAGATCAAATATAAAAGTTCAATAGCGATATACGAACAAATATACAATCAATGCTATTGAAAGGAATTGTTGGGCAATTCGACAAGTTGGGCAAATTCGGATATGCGGTTGGTTACCTCGTTCACGGGCAGTTGGGGTGATGACAAACATGTTGGATATTACTGGAATTTTATCCCAACACCAAACCTCGACACGTGTTTCGATCACCAAGTGATCATCTTCAAGAGGAAGATTTCTTTGGTCCTTCGTTTTGGTCATTATTTTTTTGATTCATGTAACAAATCATTGAATGTTTATCTACATTTTCCCGAGGGGAAGTTAATATTGTTCAACTTGAATGTTCAAGTGGTTGAAACGGAAAAACAGATTTTGACAGAGATTGATTTTCTTCTTTTCTTTAGAAAAAATTCACTTTTTACTGAACTTAAACATTCCTTATCAAAGACTAATATAATGTCCTTTAAATGTAACCTGATCCATATAATTTTTGAAGAACACATCATGGATCATAAACTAGAGAACAAATTTTTAGGCCTCAATACAGACAAAAAATTAAAATTTGGAACGCATATTAGTATAAAATGCGAAAAATTATCCTCAAGTTGTTATACGATAAGGTCTATCTCTAACTCATTGGACTATCACTCTGCTAGAAAAGCATACTTTGCACTTTTCGAATCCCATTTGCGGTACGGAGTTTGTTTCTGGGGGAGCAGCTGTCAAAACTTAATAAGTCAAATTTTCACAATACAAAAAAGAGCAGTGAGATTCATTATCAGAGCTAGAGTCCAAGATTCCTGTAATCCCATTTTTTTAACTCATCACATCTTAACAGTCTACTGCCTCTTTATTTTAGAAACAGTCTGCCTAATGCACGAAAAGCTCAAAGATAACATCTCGAACTCAATTGAAAGATATGTCACTCGTCTCACATTCAATATTGCTCTTTTTATCCTGTCAACAGCACAAATTATAAATTCGATTCTTTATAATAGCAAAAAATATTTCAATCATTTCCCCCTTTCAATCAGAAAGATAAGATACTACAAACAGTTTCGAAAAAGAGTAAAAAAACTTCTGCAAGATAAAGCTTATTATAGCATTGAGGAATTTCTTTCGGATGACTTCGCAGCTTACAATTGCAACTTATAAAATTTTTTATCACAGACTTTTACCATAGAATTTTTGAAGTGTGCTTGAGCCTTATTAATATCTTGTTTTAAATTCTTGACCTGTATGTTAATGTTTCAGATTGTTTTAGTTCTTAAGCCTGCTTTGTCAACAAAACCTAAACTTTTATGACAATAAAGCATTTCTGACTCTGACTCATATCTGTTTCTGTTTAAAATATGTTTTTCCGTTAATCAGCTGTCACACCCCTACGAACGACAACCCTCAGAAGTCGAAACTTGTGCGAGCTGAGGATTAACGAGGTCTTACCTTTTAAAGTGAAGATTTCTACACGGGTTGGACGATAGCAAGTGAAAATCGATCGTTCAGTCTGGGGCTTAAACCAGTGACAGCGGTCGATTTGAGTGAGTAAACAAAGCACCAACGTTGAACCGACCGGCTACCGTCCATAGTATACATACTGACAGAAACAGTAAATATTAACAAAGATCTAACGAAACCCTAGAAATGAGTTTCAAAATATTGACACTTCTCAAAGCAGGGTATAGTTTCTCAAATGGAGACATTACAAATTATAATCGTCGCACATGAAATCATCTCTGTTATTATGTGTGATTATTGATTATAGAGGGATCTCAACGTAAACCACAAGAGCACAACTATTCCAGAGTTTATGCGTTCTGGTTGTTAAGTGAAAATCTTACGGTGAAGTGTGCTTTGAATACGACGGACTTTATTGTTTTATTGGGGAATCGTATAACAAGTTAATAGATCTACCAGAAACTTGGTAGTATTATCAGGAAAGGTAGCATTCCCGGCTCACGATGGAAAAATCATTTGTTCTAACCCAACTTTGACCAGATATTTTTCTAGATGGAATTATTATTTGACGTTGGGTTGGATCTGCTACGTAACATGGTACACGAGACTGCGAATAGCTATTATGCCTTCTAGGTGAATCAGAGAGTTATTAGTGGCACTTTATTGATGTGCTAGGAGGCCACTGAACATTGATCAAATGGTTCAGAAAAATGATCACATATAAACATATGGTGCAAGGAATCTTAGTATTCAAATTTTACTTTCATTCCTGGTCTATCCTAAATTTTTTTCTTTGAAAGACTTTACTGAAGCCGGGAATTTTGAAAAGAGATCAAACAAAAAAGTTCAATAGCGATGTACGAACAAATATACAATCAAAGCTATTGAAAGGAATGGTGACAACATTTTCTACTTTGATTGAAGTTTTCTCCCTTATTCGAGAAGTTGAGCAAATTTGGATATGCGGTTGGTTACCTCGTTCACGGGCAGTTGGGGTGATGACAAACATGTTGAATATTACTGGAATTTTATCCCAACACCAAACCTCGACACGTGTTTCGATCACCAAGTGATCATCTTCAAGAGGAAGATTTCTTTGGTCCTTCGTTTTGGTCATTATTTTTTTGATTCATGTAACAAATCATTGAATGTTTATCTACATTTTCCCGAGGGGAAGTTAATATTGTTCAACTTGAATGTTCAAGTGGTTAAAACGGAAAAACAGATTTTGACAGAGATCGATTTTCTTCTTTCTTTTGGAAAAAATTCACTTTCTGCTGGAATTAAACATTCCATATTTTTCTCAATGACTGGAGGAAAATATGAAAGTTGATTTGATCCCACATAATGGATATGTGGTAGGTACAACCGATGTTACAATAAATTCTACCTCAGCTCTTGAGAATATGAAATTACCAATGATCAATGAAATTCTATTATGTGTTTCCAATTATAATTCTACTTTATTTTAGTTTTATAATTAAGGTACTCACATTTTATCTTCTTCCAGAAAATAGTCATATTCTAGATCCAACATTTTCCAAAACTATTGTATCCTATTGTAAATTTAAGAACTATTTAACGTTTTTGCAGGCTGAAAACAACCATATAGGTACATAAATAACCGACAAATTTATGTTGATAACAGTTTTATCAACTGTAGCATTCCGACATACGTCACGTCACGTCGGGACGCAATTGTCAGTTATTGATTTGTTCGTTTCACTATAGCTTTCGCCATCGTATAGCTTTCGCCATCTAGTTTTCAAAGACTGAAATGAAAGTAATCTCAAAGAAGAGTTCTTCAAAAGGCCATTATTAGTAACAATGCAATCCAATGATTATTGTTATACAGGCTGTATGTAAAAACTTTGTATATAGGGTTGGTCTATATTTAGGATTCTAAGTATTTCCAAAATATTCGAATGAAATATTTCATCCGGCGTTCACCGGGTGAATGAGTTTACATAGCCCATTTTTTAATATTTGAACACATTTGTTATTCACAAGCCACTAATTGGAGAAGCTAGATTTTCAACATGAAACATGCTGTGTAATTATAGGTACTGTTTGTTGACATACACCAAAAGTTCAAAATAATCTTAATTAAAAAATGGAGGTGGCTTTCTTCGATGAGGAGTAACTGAAGCCAGATATATGGAACCAAAATTTGGCTTGAGCCCTATCTGGCTTACAGAGACAGGTTTTTCTGGCAATTACTGGTGCCATCAGTCCCACACCGTCAGCGGCCATGGAGATCCTTCTAGATCTACCTCTTCTCCACATTTTTCTGGAGAGAGAGGCTAGATGGACTTCATAGAGACTTGTGCACATTGCCAATTGCACAAATCAATTAAATGCAGACTGTTGGTTGACACTGGAAGCATTCTGAAAATGACCTCTGACTTCATGCCTCCAACTGTCAACTACGAACTGCCTTATAAAGTACTACTCCCGAGTAGAGAGGACTGGATCCTCCGGGAGGAGGAAATATTGAGAGCAGATAGTTGTTGGTTCACAGATGGCTCAAAAACACCTTCCAGTTCTGGTGCAGGTGTTTTTAGTCGCAGACCCAGGACAGAGATATCTACCTGCCTAGGAACTTATGCGATTGTATTTCAAGCGGAAATTTACGCTATTGAATTGTGTGCGGAGAGATTGGATAAATCCAACCTCACACACAAGCCAATAAAAATATTCTCGGATAGTCAAGCGGCGTTGGAAGCGTTGGCGTTGCCAAAAACGTGTCTCCTCGATAGGAAGACTTAACAGATTGTATCTGGTCTGGATTCCTAGCCATACTGGCCTGGAAGGTAATGAAGCTCTTACAAAAGAGGGTGCTGTAAGCGGCTTCATCGGACCAGAACCTGTCATTGGCATCGCTTTGGGCCTTGTCAAACAAATATTGAACACCTGGATGGCAAGAAGATTTATAGACTTCTGGCAGAATCTTCCAGGATTGTCTCACTCCAAAGCGTTTATCCACCCTTCGAATCTTGATACCAAACAGTTGTTGGACCACAGTAGGGATGAACTACGATGTCTAACATGCCTTCATATGCAGAGACTTGCGGACTGTCGGAAGGCAGTGTGTGTCATCTCTGTTTGGAAAATGATGAAACAGCAGAGCATATACTCTGTGCCTGCCCCGCTGGGGACCGAATCAGGTTCTTAGAGTTTGGCAGATCCGTACTCTTACCATCTGATCTGAAAGACCACTCACCATACAAACTAATCGGCTTCGTTAAGAAGCTGGGTTTATTTGGACAAGTGTGAATAGGTGTGAGCCACAATATACCCTTGCGAGTTGCGGTGGAGGGTCGAATAGACCCACTCACTTCAGACCTAACCTAACCTGACCTAATCGTAATAATACTGGCTTGTTTGGATGCGGTGGTTCTGACAAAAGAGGCTGACATCTGGCAAATCAATACCACCATGTACAGCGCCGGCCTTATGGTTCAGATGGTTGAACGGCGGGTACACAAGAACGAGGCTGAGATCACGTGGGCGAAATGACACACGTCTCGTATCCAATGTGTGATGCATTACACGGCGATCAACGAATAACTGCCAAACTACGACGTATCCATCACACATTGAGTAAAGGCGCGCTGCTGATCACCAAAAAAACTGCCTTGGTATGATACGAATGCTAGTGACTGCAAAAAAGTCACTAGTGAGGCAAGGGATAAATGTCGCGGAAAACTTCTAGTTCTCCGAGCTTCTCGCTTAATCAGAGCCTCCGCGTAATGAGGATAGTGCGCCGACAGCTGATCAGATGGAATCCTTCTGGAAGGACATCTTCGACCATCCGCAGCCACTCAACTTAGATACTTCAACCCTAGAGCATTTCGCAGTTTTCCGCAGAGAGTTTTGACAGCCTGAGCTCAATAAGCTGTATAACACGATAACCCCGGATGACATTCGCAGAGCCCTTGTAGTTTCCAAGAATTTTACTGCTCAAGGCCCAGAAGGGCTGAATACTTATTGGTGAGTCAAACTAACAAGAACCCACCACCATCTGCCAAAGATTTTTCAACTCATGGCGGGACGCAGAGCAGCCGATTCCGAATTGGTTTGTCGAGAGGCGGGCCGTTTGAATGGATATATAAGCAGAGAGGGTTGAATAGAGGAGTCGCTGGATGTAAAGATAGATGTGTAATGCAAAACTCGATACAGTATGTCGAAGATACGTTTACTTACTTCGGGGTGGAAAAATGCCACTCACAAGGGGTAACCACAGTGAATGATTCTATCTACGGCTAGTATCAGCACGAACTTCGACAGATATATGGTCATCAGAACCATCGAGGAAAGTTGGTGCTGCGAATACGTTTGTCATTCCGACCTTTCTTTACTGCTTTGGAGTAGTGAAGGATTCCAATAATCAGAACAACCATCTTAACAGAGTGGTCTGGATATTATAATCATTATCCTGATGGAGAAGAATAACTAATAAGAAAAACATGAGTTTGTGAACTAATTTAGAAAATGTTAATACATCTAGAAGAAATGAAGAACGTATCCTTCAAAAGACATTATTTTTTGTAGGGGAGTCAATGGTATTTGATATGATATAGATCAACAGAGAATCTGCAATGGAGTATAATGAAGGGCAAACTGAAAAGTTCACTCCTAAAAGTTACTATTCGGTGTGAAGATTGGAAATCTAAACAAAACTTCAAAGAATAATTGGACATGGATTTAGAATTTCGAGAAATTTCATTCACATAGTTTCACTGGGTGACTTGTAGTTTTGCCCTTTAGGTATCTTCCGTATGTTTGTAGGCCCCACATGAAAGGCGAGTGGTTGGTATTTTCACCCGAACTTGGCAATATCTCATANTGTAAGAATGTCATACGCCACTGGATTCAAAGTGCCTCTAAACAGGTGTGACCAAAATTTCATGAAAAAATATTCATTATTAACAAAGTTATGACAACTCAAAAATTCGAAAGTCAAAGTGGTAACGCGCGTCAGAGAAATTATACTACATACAAGTTATATTATAAATATGCATATCTTGCAGAAACAAAAAACAAAATAATCAACCCGCCACTGTTTATAAACTTGCCGCCGAGGTCAAGAATCAAGAAAGCAAGTTGTGATTCCCACTGATCCGAGAGATCATATTCACAATAATTTCATGAAGTCACATTTAATATTCAATCGTGGTTTCCAATATCGATGATAAATATGTTTTCCTTCACTTGGCTGTGTGTTTTAGTGTCGTTAGTGAATATTTCCTATGGACAATATGAAATTCCACCAGTTACACTGGAAGCCTACAGACCCAGGGGATTCAGAGCTTCTATCAAAGGTAAATAACGATTTTTACGAAGTCGGTAATGCTTTATTGAAATGACCACAGTTGAAATGAAGACCTATTGCAAAAAAAAATTCAATAACATCTACCGAAGTTTGTGAGCTGGCGTGTCACATATGACAATTTATTTTTTATTTTCCTTATACACTATTTACTTTGTAGAAACCAACGTGATTTCCCAGGAAAACCCGTGAAAATGTATCATCGTCAATTCTACGAACATAGCTTTTTCGTGTATNAAATCTCGTGAATTAGGTGGCCGAGGCATGATTACGGTGTTGTTTTCTGCCAAAAAATTACGCACAACAATGATGATGCAGATGCATCATCATGATGCAATAGACATGAATTGTTTTTCCGTGTTAGGAATCACAAGTTAAAAGGTAAGACCTCGTTAATCCTTAGCTTGCACAAGTTCCGACTTCTGAGGATTGTCGTTCGTAGGGTTGCGACAGCTGGTTAACGGAAAAACCGATTTTTTTTTTAAATACTGGACATTTTCTTCGTATTGCTTCTCGCAAGCGGTTCATAACTTCAAGATAATACTCCTTATTGCCGGACGATCATGTGGCAAAAACTCCTAATGCAGCACTACACCACGGTAATCTATAAAATCAGTGATCAAAACCGTTATATTTGTTCGAACTTGGTCTTGGCTCTACTGGGCTCTTTCATTAGGAAGATTGGACTTTGGTTTCGATGAATATTACTGGAGTTTTTTCCCAACACCAAACCATTATTTTACTTCCTCGACACGTGTTTCGATCACCAAGTTATCATCTTCGAGAGGAAGATCAAACTGGTTTCGATGTCATAAGCATATACCAAATATTCGTCATCAGTTATGGCCCTTTTAAGCAAATCTGGATCGCCGTTAACGTCATTCGACAATTCTAGAGCAAAGCTCATGTGACAGATTTTTTTGGTGAAAACTATCGGTTATTGATGTGTTAGGGCGTCCAGGGCGAGCGTTGTCATTCACATTCTCTCGATGTCAAATCTAAAGCAAATGAACTTCAAATGTTCAAGCCCGTCTCGATATACCTACACAGTTAGTTTAATGGACTGACGCCTATCAGAAAACAACTACTTCCCTGGCTGATACCACGAAGGGCGTTGTATTATATTTGACAGGCGTCTCGATGTCAACTGACATGTTGAAAGGGGAAACCTCGGTAAGCCTCAGCTCGAATGTGGTCGTTTGAAGAAAACCATTTTTTAACATTACGTCCACATCATATTCATTTTATTAATGCGCTCGAATATACACGTCTTTAACGATTGTCTGGCTAGGTTTTAGAACTCTCAAAATATTCCAGCTACTGACTAAATATCCACTTAAAGTTATCCAACCTTGCCTAACCTTCAAGCTTGTCTGGCCAGGTGTTGGACCTGTCAGAGTTGTCTGGCTTCTGAGAAGATATCCTCAAAGATCATATTGAATTCAGCTTTCATACTGTCACGTGAGAACAGTTGTGATTTGATAAAGTTTGAAAGTATGTGACCTATGCTAACTGTTACTAACCAAAACTATGATAATCCAATTATCATAATAGTCCATCATTTTCTGCCTATGGTGGGGCCATGCAATGATATTTGAGGTTTGAAATATTTTCTTTGATAAGAAAAGTCACTATGGAGGAAGGGATGAATTCTAAAGTTTTGTTCGAATCAGAAAAGGAAGTCACAGCCGTAATATGGTAATTTTTTCAGCCCAGTATTTCCTTAGGAGCTTCAATACAGTCAGAGATGAAATCCTGGTTCAACAGGACATTATAGAATAGTACAAGGACTGAAAAGTCACGGGCCTAACATATAGATGACGCTAGTCTTATTGCTTTCATCGCTTTTTCAGTTAGTACTAACCTTCTGAGGAAAGCTGTCAAAATTTCAAAATGAGAAAGCTCTGTTCAAAGTGGATCCCGCGCGAGCTCACTGTTGACCGAAAACAAGAACGTCTTGATGATTCTGAGCAGTGTTTGGCCATGTTTAAGCATAAAAAACGGAATTTTTGCATCGATATGTGACACTTGACAATTAATGAAACATGGATCCATCACTCCACTTCGGAATCAAAACGATTGTCATCTGAGTGGAGAGCAACAATCGGCTGGAAATTGCTCCCACATCCACGGTATTCATCAGATTTGGCTCCCAACGACTACTGACATTTGGCAGACCTGAAAAATGGTCACTGGTAAGAAAGAGGTTATTGTTGAAATTGAGGCCTATTTTGAGGGAAATAAATCATTTTACAAAAGTGGTATTGAAATGTTAGAGCCGAGCCGGATTGATGTGTGGCTCTTGGTGGATTGATTGTGTGGCTCTTGGTGGAGGCAACGTTGATGAATAAATCCAATTCTGAACAAAAAATAGGGGAAAGTGGGGTTATTGCGAACACCTAAGGAAAAACTCAAATTAAACAAAACCAGTTAAGGTTATGAATGATATTCATTACTAAAAGTTGACTATAACTAATCAATCTTATGTTCTCATAATCAACGTAGATAAATGTTCCATATAAAATAAAATATTAAAACAAAAACAAAACATTGGAGTCCGGGATTACCCCACAACACGTGGGGTAATTGCGGATGGACTATTGGGTAGTTACAAACATAGTCTAATCACAACAGAAATCACAAACGAAGCCTCGTAATGTACTTTCACCACTCGTACAGTTTTCGTGGGTCCATAAATTACATTTGTAGCATCTTATCCAGTCTTCATCAGGTGGATCTTCATAATTTTCATCACAGATCAGGCAATAATACTCGTTTTCCATCCCATCTCCTTCATTGGCCTTTTTCTACTTGCACTGTATGTCCTTTTCTTGAAACTTTGTATGAATGCTATCATCGGAAAATAATTTAAGATTCTTCACTCCATTTTTATCTTCAGCGGTACTTACAATTTTTGACTTTCTCTGTTTTTTTTTCAAAATATCTTTCATAGGGGTGCAGGTTATTATATTTCCATATAGATACAGGGCAGAAAACAAGGATAAATAATAGAAAAAAGGAAACTATGTGAACTATACGGTTTGTAGGGGTGATTGCGAATGGCCGGGATTACCCCCCTAAAATCATCCGCCACTAGCCGGCACACACAATACCACAAACTGAAATTTTTATTTGAGGTTAGAATAGCGTGGTGCACGCGATTACTCCCTAAAAACATTGTTGAATGATATATTGATTCGAAAAAATAATGTGATATTTCTATGTAATGCCTAAAATATTATACACCAACTCAATTTTAGTAAAAATATATATGAAATTGTTGATAAATCTTTAAATGAACATACATTGTAAAACGAGCGCGTCGTCATTTCACCACTTACTGCGCGGCACTACGTCTGAAATGGACTCACGATTGCATCACTCGGAATATCTTTCATTCTTTTCTAACATAGTGAAACATACACGTCCGCGATTACTCCGCGTCCGTGATTCCCCCACCTTCCTCTACGCGTTTTCTTTCTTAGGCCCATGCAGTTATTATTCCATTGAATATGAGCCAATACCAAAGTACTGCCTTCTGAATCGAATATATGCAGAAACAGAACATGATGAAAGCAACTGACTTATCAAAATTGACACTGTCATATTTGCGATTTTTGTACACCAAGATAGAAGTATTTATATGCAATTTATCAAGATGTTTTTATTAAAGGCCTCTTGTTGTCCCTGTAGAGCTACAGAACCAAAACCTTTTTTCCCCTTCTGCTTAATGTGTACAATCTGAACTGGGTTTCAAGTCATGATAAGCGTTTTAATTGTGTCATTCACTTTCGAAAATCAATAATTAATTTTTGTTTTTTGGGCAGTTGTTTTTATAAAACTCTATTTTCTAATTGTCACTGAGCATCCATGAACAATGATTTGAATTTCTGATACTATTAGAGGTTCATCCAGAACTTTTATAATATTTTGCCAATTTCATATTTTACAAAAGTTTTTTCTTGGAAGTTACCAAGTTTTATAAGCAGTTGAATGGGAAAGAAATTCTTGAATATTCATTTCAGAATTTCCACAGTGATAAGTATTGTTTTCTTTTCAGCTGATAACCTAACTGAATTATTTGCTTTCCATGGTAAGCTGAACGAAAAAATAAACCAAATAGAGCCTGGAGAATTCGGTGAAGATGTTAGGTCACCAGTGGATGGCTATTTCACTTATTACAACCCAAACATGGAACTGAAAATCAACGATGAAGTCCATTACTGGGTCTTTGTGCAACACAAAAAGCTTGGGTATAGAAGAGATGCGCAAGTTTGGAAAGTAACTGGTCAGTAATGAACATCAATGAGAACAATTTGTGGTTTTATTTACATTTCAGAATTGAGAAATTCTCCAGGAACAGAATGCGAACCGAGTGTGACAGTAATTAGTGATCGAACAAAGGTCTGTAGAAATATGACGATATTTGAGGACCAGTTTGGTGGATCCTCGATAGATATTAGCAAATGGATAATTGAACAGTATGTTCCTGGACCACCGGTGAGTCTCAATAGAATATGTATTGTAGATTGTGAGAGACTTCATAGTCCAGCTCAGAAGTGCCCTTCAGGTCAAACTGTTTTCTCCGTCTCCGAAAAATATGAACGAGATGTCATTCGGTTCGAAATAGCGTATACATGAATTTTGAAAAAAATCAAGTACCGCTTGCAAAAATTGTTGAAGTTGTAAGCATTTTTCAAATTTGAAAAATGATTCAAGAAGAGAAGAAAATTTTTCAAGAAAATTCTCACATTACGGAACTGTAGAACCAATATTTATAATTTTCCAAGAGGGCTGATGTAATCCTGAAATGGGTAATCTGGCTTTCGCAGGACACGCCCATTTAGACCTTCAATGAAAAAATATTATTTCAACTAATTACATATCAGAATTGGGAAAATTGAGGCACCTACTGGATGAAAGAATGAACAATAATCCGTGGTGAAAACATTTTTATCGTGATTTTCCAGTTAATGGTGCATTTGTTAATTTAGAATTTTTTTCTACTTGAATAGGAACATTGGAAGTGTGATAATAGTTAGAAAACTGATCTGAGATTTTTTGGAGATATTTACGAATGGTCTTAGAATAGACTTATGTGAGGAAAACAATCAAATTTATTATTTTTCGATTTGTTATCAATCTAACCTAATGTAACTCATGAATCGCATTTTTTGAGAATATGACTTATCAATTTTGTTTTCAGGATTACGAGTTTGTTGTTTACAGACCTTATGAAAATGTCACATTGGTGAATGATGGCAACTTGGTAGTCATTCCGCATCTTGCTAGTGACAAAGATATAGAAGCAGACCCACTAGATCTAACGGATGGGTAGGTACTTGAGTAGTATTCAAGTTGAAACAATTTTTATATATAGGGAGTTTTACAGTCCCTCATTTAGTAATCATACATATGGAATGTGAGAAAAAAATAAGTTTCGAAGTAAAATAAACAAAGAATATGAAAAATTGGCGTCAGTCATGAAAGTCGATAAAACGTTTACTGGTGTGAAAGCAACACATCATCGATAAAAAATTTGAATCTGCAAATTCGCTGTTTATGCACGTGGCTGGCTTCCTCTCATTATAAGTAGTTTCAATGAAATCTATAACTTTCAAATGCAAGACCATTTCCAAAATTTCCCCTGTCTGGATGTTTGTTTCAGATCTAATGATTAGGAATGAACTGCTTGCCAATCCCAACAGATCTAGATCCTTCTGGTCGGTGGCTAAAGCTGTTGGAATCAGCTTTAGCTGCAAAATCCAAAATTCCACCAATGAAACAAGCGGATGTTTCAGTTGTAAAAGAACCTTCGAAAAAGCAAATCTACTGAACAATTGAATATTTGAAAGGCTTCGATATCTTGAGCGAGCACAATATGGCTTTCGGACGGAAACAAAGATCAACAGGCGACTTTCTATAGTATATCACCCATATTTGGAATAACGCAATCGAGAAACATGGAGAGTCGAGAGCTTGATATTTCTAAGGCCTTTGACCGTGTATGGCCATGAGGGTTTGCTGGCCAAACTTCGATGCTATGGTCTGTCGGATCATTTTTATCTATGGCTCTACAGCTTCCCGAAAGAACGTTTCCTACAAGTGGCCGTTGATGGATATCTCTCAAATCCTGGTGTTCCCCCGGATCCATATCGTCTCCAACCCTCTTTTTATTGTATACCATCTGTTTATTAGAAAAAACAAGTATATAATATATTGCTTTGCTGACGACATCACACTTGTCTCGTCATTCCATTTGGATTCCAGGACATTGGCTGCGGATGCACATCTTCACCGGCAGCAGGAGCTTGCATATCTCAATGGGGATCAAGAAGTGATTTCGAATTGGGGTGAAAGTAATCAGATTCATTTCTTTGCCACAAAAACTCAGACATCTTTTTTCTCCAAAAATATGATTGTCTTCGAACCGAATAGATGTCAAGACAAGTTTGTTGGAGGTTAAAATGGACACCAATATGTCTTGGTACAATCATTCCGCTGGAATTTCAAAGGCTGCTTCTCAAAAGCTTGGAACATTGTTCCCAACCAGAGAACTGTACACATCTCAGCAACTTTTGATGCTTTATAAAGCTCAGATCAGATCTTCTTTGGAGTATTGTTCTCATGTATGCAGCTCCGCCCTTAAGCATACCCTGAAGCTGCTGGATTCTATCCAGAAAAAAGTCACCCGCCTGATTGGAGACTCGAACATCACTTGTAACCTTGATAGTCTGGAACATCGACGAAAGGTTGGAGATTTGTCTCTATTCTATAGATACCTTCACGGATAGTGTTCAAGTGAATTGGCACATTTGATTTCACTTTCGCTACTTTCGTAGATGCACCGCTCTTAGAGCGCCTTGAAGTTTTTCCTGTAGTGCTTGGGTTTTGTTTCTGAAAAAATCGTTTCAAATCTTATCATGCAGGAACTCAAAGATTTGATTTCGCTTTTTTGAGAGTGTACCAGGGAAGACGATCGTTATGAAACTGTAAACAAGGATTCAAACAAATATATAGGGATGAATTGAAGGAAATTCATTGACGCAATGTGGATCATAAAATAGCAAAAACTAGTAATGAATCGAAAACAATGTGGCAGATAGACTATCTCAGGAAAAATGTCCAATGAAATGATAATATTGGAATGAATGATGTGAATGTTGAGATATCAAAAATCCCCTATGGTATGTCACGAAGAGATATTCATTAAATTTATGAAAAACAATGTTCCCATCTATCATAACTCGTTTTTCATGCATTCCTTTAGTAAATATGACATGATTGATTTGATAAAAATACTAAAAAACTTGAGGGGTTATGATGAAATTTCAAACAATCCCTTAAAAAAATGTGCTCATTAGTTATCATATCCGCTACACCACATCATTAATCTATCACTAGAATATGGAATTTTTCCTGAAAAATTGAAAATAGACAATGTTGAAACAATTTATAGAAGGAGTAATGATAATTTCTATGAAAAGTATAGGGGCATTAGCATGCATTTACAAGAAATAAGAGTAAAGAAACTGCTGTGATTTCAGTGAACACATTATAAATGTTCTTGATTGCAAAATACACATTTGTTGTTCATTTATAGAGTTTTCAGGAGCCTTCGTTACTGTTAATGATGAACTTCTGCTATAGAAATTGGAACAATAATATGGCGTGAGAGGAACTGCTAACAAGTTTATTAAATCATATCTGCAAAGCAGAATCCAACGAGTTGTTGTCGGCGACACTGTGAGTGAACCACGAACAATCAAGTAAGGTGTCCCCCAAGGATCTATATTCGGACCGTTCTTTTTTCTCATTTTTGCAAATTTCACTATTTTAAACAACTTTCACTAGTCCACGTGATAACATATGTGGATGATACGAATTTCCTTATCAAAGAGACTCCGCAACTCTTTCAGATATTACTCGAAGTGTAAATTATAACATGAGAAAATAGAAAACACGAATGAGTTTGAGATTTTCAGTACATATGAGGATGATGATTTTCATGTAGAATCCTCTGAAGAAACTGAATTATTAGGCATCACAATTGGTTACAGACTCACCTGGACACCACATATCGACACACTTTGAAAGATTTCGTAAAAATTGTTATGCGTTCAGATTCTTGTCTAACTACTGTAATGCTGAAATCTCCTTGAGTCTGTATTCTGAAAGTATTTGGAATTGGGGTTCGGGATCATCCTTGGAAAAAATGTTCATACTACAAAAGTCAGTGGTTCGAATAATTGCCAAACTTGGATGGAGAGAGTTATGTAGGGGCTCTTTCGAAAACCTGAAAGTTCTTACGGTTTTTGGAATATATCCTAATGGAGTATGTATATTTGTTTGTGATAACAGATCAAGTTTTTTATCGGATCATCAGATTTATGATTATCTTAATCGCTCTGGAAATTTGCTAGAACCTAGACCACATTGAATAGTCCTCTGCCAGAAAAGCCATCTCAATCTCGGACCAAAAATTTTCAACAAATTAGATGAAAATATGAAAGCAGCCCCTTATATGAATATTTTTTTCAAATGAATATAGAAAACTTTTTCAATTGATGAATTCGATGATTTTATTCCTTTCCATGTACTCTCTGTTTCTTGTTCTGTATCTGTAGAGTAGGGAGGGTGAGTGTGTACCCACAGCACTTAGGCCACATGTGACCCATTGTACATCCTCCCGAGGAGTTGTCCTCCTAGGTCATCGTCCATCCTGCCCTTTCCAGGAAGGTGAACAGGTCACTAGGAGACATTTCCTTTATATTGACAGGTGTAGGCCAAGACTTGCCGAACACATACTCTCTTTGGCAACCTTGAGGTGTCTCACGGTGACCTTTTTGTAGGTTTTGGAAAGTGAAGCGACGTTACTGTCGTTGCGCGGCTTCTTCAACCTTCTTGGGGTTCCCTCTATGGAGGTGTACAAGTGAGGGAGCTTTCCTGCAGGGTCAGCCGGGTTCTTGCCTTTATTCAAGGCGGAGCACTTAGCCCCCGCCGCAGGAAGTGCCCTTGCTGTTGGAGGTGAAGTGGGGAAGGAGGAGGGTGCACTTATAGTTTCTGCCACTCCTGCCTCCTTCGCTCTCTTTCTCCTTTTGGCCTCGGCACTGCAAATGCGCTTATGCATTGGCTTTTGTATTACATCACGAGGTGATCTGCTATGTCCAGCCTCATTCCATTGGGTGGAGATTTTTGTTCATCCCCAGCCACCGCCTTAGATTGAGGTGAGCACTTCTGCCCAGCCTCGGGATTGGTTTTTGATTTTGTTTTTTCTATTTTTGTGTTTGATTCATTCATGTGTGTTCCCACGAGCACCAAAGGAAGAGTTGGTCACCTCTGGCAGAGTCCCGCATTACCAGAGGTAGGCTGATTACAATGAGGTTTCGCCCACTTTCTCAAGGGGATCGTTCGTGACCGCATATCACCCTGCGGCCATTCAGCAAGATTCCTTACACCTTAGCTTGGGTAGGCTGGTCCACGGTGGCATGTTTGTTCATAATCAACATTCCCGAAAATTGAAATTTTGGATCTTGCTGATCACATAGTGGAATCATTTTTCCACCAGGAAATTCGAATGGGGATACTTACTTAGTTCTGTTGGAAAACGCCGCCAATCTGGTGCTGATCCAGATTATGGATACAAACGTTATCATGAAAGAAATCCGATATTTCAGAAAGACGATGCTGTTTCCAATTTTGCATCACCTACATCTCAGTTTCTATATGGATGCCGTCAAATGAACCTCGACTATTTTTACGTTCAAGTCCCTTTGATTTATTTTTGCGTGAAGATCTGGTCATACCGGGTGTCAGGAACCTTTATACCTATCACACGGTAGATTGAGCTGTTAAATACACCATCCTGGCAGACTATGATGAACTCCTCAGTTTCTGACTTCTGTTAACTCGACCTGAGAAGGTCAGGTCTTCAATGTTGTTAAAAAAGACCCCATGCGTGAGCTTACCATTGTATTACCGCAGGAGTGAGGTGATCTCTGCGACTTTTACGTGAAGCTTTTGCTGAATTTGTTCCAACTTGGTGTCAAAGTAGTATCCCTTCATTCAGTGTCATTAAGCCGCTCGGCCAGCTGTAAGAAATGATGTAATTTCCGGTCTCTCTTGGTCGCAGACGAGGCAGATGAGGAGATCCGAACTCCTGATAACTTTACAGGCTCCATCCAATATCCAGTCCTGTAAGGGGAAGTACCTACAATAGTGTAACGGAGGATTTGGGATGCAAACTCCTATGGAGGTGCATCAGTTTTCGGGTCTTCATGTCGGGTTGAAACAGTTCTTCCTGAGTGATGTTGTTTCAGTATACGTCTCTTCGGCATTCAGATGAAGCAGAACG